GATGGGGTGTAGAGGTCGGGGATTAAGGTAGAGGGTTTGTGGACAGTCAAACGAAATCTAGTTTACCAAACCGATATTATCATCACTATTCTTCTATTATCTCTGTAACTTTTATTACCACTAGTTGTCTCCTTTGCTTTGTATTATTTGTTGTTATAATTGTTCTTTTCTCTAGTATTTGCTGCACGGCTTTTTCATCACTGTATTTCTTTTTCAAACTTGCTTTGAATTATTTTACTTGAGCAAAGGGTCTCTCAGAAATAACCTCCATGTCTTCACAAGGCAGGGGTAAGGTTTGTGTACACACCACCCTCCCTAGACCCCATTTGTGGCATTATACAGGTTATGTTATTGTTGTTGACTTGTTGTACACCATGATTTAACCACTAGCAAAAAGCTCTAGAGGTCAACCTTCTCAGCTTCTTTTTAAACTTAAATTACCATTTTGGACTAAATATCTTCCTCACACTTGTAATATGATGTATTCAGCAACAGATCTCAACAAAATTATAGAAGTATGTTTCCTTATGAAAAGTTGCCTTCATTTAACAGATGAAGACCAAGACATACCTAAAGTGAACAGGAGCATAAGTTCGAAATACGACATGTGTCTTGGTCATATTCACTTCATGACCTATCCAATCAACCAATGTCGATATTGACCTCCTGTATGCAGTCTCAATATTCATGGTCATATCCACTTCTCCACCTTGTTGAAAGTAACATCCCCTATCATACAAAAATCGATCAGTCACAAGTATATTAGGTTATCGGTAATCAAGATTATGATTCAAAAAAGCAACAAACATTGATGTCCAAACTTAAAGTGCTTACTATTAATGCACCACTTAGTGGCGGGAAGCAACACATCTAAACAACTTGAGGAATAAAATTTACGTGATGAGGACAGTACTTATCTGGAACAATTTTGGCTGTTTTTCTCTTAATAAGAATTCCTCTAAGTACATAATAGTTGTAGCAGTGTTTAGCTCATAGAATCCAACGACAACTACTAATCACTCATACCTCACTAAACCCTTTCAATTTCAGATAGAAGGCCAACCTAAAGACTAAGACAAAAAAGTCCAAATGAAAGAGCTCGAACATATTTTAGAGCTTCAATCTGCGGATATTCAAATTTACCACCTTCGGTTCTACATATCATGATAATCGTTCGAATTCAAAATCTTATATTTTTCTGCAAAGTAACTGAGTCCACTACTGAACGATTTCTGCCCTGTCAAACTTACTGTGCTTACATATCCACTACTCAAAGTACCTAGTTTAGATCAATTAGCTTCACTGCAAAATTTAACATCAGGGCATATCTGACAATGAATGAGAGGAAACCCCATTGGTATGCCCTCTCTACCCGCCCATTAGTTCATTTTTCCTTTCACAATGTGCAAAGAGAGCAGAGGAAGAGAAGTGAAGTGCACAGAAGCCGAGCTGCTTGTTAATGGTTATCAGTTATTTCGTCTTCTGAGGCATACTATTCTTTTCCATGGAAAATTCTTTCCATAAAGTAGCTCAACAACTTTGAGGTTCTGACAATATGTTGCAAATTGTAAATGCTAGTTTTCTCTATGTACTACATATTTAGCAGTTAACTATTTTCTTTATGTTTTACCAATCTTCGCAGATATTAAATTAGAACAGTTTTTTGAAATGCAAAAATCTAGAAGGGAGATATACACAACTATAGACTACAGCAACAATATGTACCTTTGCAACTTTTCGATGTATTGGGATTAAGAAAAGATACTAACAGTAGCAGGCTATAATCTATTTGTAGCCACTTGTGAGGACTTTGAGTTCTTGACACAAAACTAAAATCGCAAGTGTTCATTAGATTCATTCTATCAGTTAACAAGCAAGAAAAGTATGGGTTTAAATTGAAAAAGAAAGAAAAGAGAGCTTACTCTCTAATAGTTTTTTCATAAATCCACCAGTGACCACTGTTGAATACCAAAACATCTGCCCCTTTCCATTGAGCAGAGCTCCAATCCATTTGATCCAGTCTCAAAGTCAATTTAACATTTCGGGGAGCCCCTGAAGGTGGACGACCTTGAAACACTAGGAATGGAGCTCTATAGTACTCAATAGTGCAGTTGAAATCCTTGAACTTAAAAATCAAGAAACCCATGTGCTTTGTGATGGGATTTCCATTAACTTCATATATCTTGCTTTTATCAGGAACTGCAGAAGATAACATGCAGAGTAGAGACTCCCACTGGTTTCTTCCAATTGAATCCCCAACAAACACAACGCGTCTGTTTCGCAACTTCTCTAACATAGTTTTTGCATCGAATCTGCTTAAAAGAGTAATTAGAAGACTAAAATTTGCATTCAATAATCATCGAAAAGACTATGAAAAGCTCTCCCCTACTACACAAAGTCTTCTTAAGAATAACAATAAAAAATTTAAGCATCAAGTTAACAACTTTAGTCGATGCTCAATGAGAGCCAATATAGTAAGAGTTAAGTTCTATATGTTTTTTTTACACACCATTAGATAAAATTGAATGAGAAACTGATGTAACCACTCAAATTGTGCACTGTCAGTGTATATAACTAAGTTCACCTAGTCGTTCAATGATTAAAATCTTAATCAGCTAAAATCAGTAGCAAATGGTATGCAAGAAGAACACATCATATGAAAGCCTAAAGTGTTGAAGTAATTCTTTCACTTTCTCCTCTCTTAAATTCTTTAGTTAAATTACCAGCAGAAACTAAACACAGTATAGTAGTCACTATCAGAAGAAGAATTAACCTGGGCAAGTTGCAATCTTTAGGTTGCCAACGCCATTTAGTATAGAAATTGTCAGGCCTGCCATTCTCAGAACAACGAAAGCCTTCATCCAAGAAATTACAATCCTTTGATTCATAAAGTGGATAACTTTCATCCCAAACCCAATTTCCATCGAAAATATCACAACTTTCTGCACCTTTTCCCAAAAAATTAACCTTTTCACTCTTGTTATAGGACAAAGATGATCCATTTATCCCAATCCAAGTAGCAAACAAGGATGGCTGATGCAACCGAGGCACTTTGTTTACTGTACTATAATCCAACAAGAAGAGACACAAGAATAAGAAAACAGTGAAAAAGAAGCAGCCAAGAACACCTGGTGAAGGCTCAAAAGGCTTAAACCCCTTGAGTTTCTTGAAAATCTTCAAGTTGAAGAATCTGGGAGATGGGTTTTCACTCATCTCTGCTTTAGACTAAAGAAGTACTAGTGGGTGTAGTGAAAAATCCAGTCTTGGGATGGAGAAAACAAGACTATCAAAAGCAAGTCTTGGAAAACCATAAAAATTGAATTTTTTTGGAGGGTTATTGTTTTGAGAAGATGTGAACACACACAAATCTTTTAAGTTGAATACAGCTAGGTGGGGCTTTCCTCATTATAGAGAGAGAGAGAGAGAGAGTAAAAGAGTTGAGGATGATGAGGTGGGGTCTTGTATGGACAAAATTAAAGACAAACATTCAAAACAAGGAGTAGTCTAAAATTGCAAATGGGGACTAGGAGAAAATGCATTTTACTCTTATTGCTTCAGTAATAATTAGCGAGTTTTTAATCTTCTCTTCTGCTGAAAGAAAAACAAGTGAGGTTTGCTACTCGTATGTTTTGAGGTTTGTGGCGGAGATGTCGGAAAAAGGTACAAGGCCGGTGGAATCGTCGTGAGGCTTAAGAGAGAATATATGGGAGCGTGGGCTCAACGTGGGATGTCAACAATTTTCTCTCTAAATTCACAAATTTCTCTCCTTTACATGCAAATATTATTTTCATTACATTAATACCAGCAGTTAAATGTTGTATGAGCTGGATTTGTTGTTGTTAATTAAATAATTGGTACTGGAGGTTAGAAATGAGTATTGATTAATACACCTAATAAAACGAAGACGTGTGTCACCCTACTTAAATTCACCCCCACAATGTCGTAGATACTGATACCGAATTACTCTCTCCCTTCCGTTCAACCATATTTGTTCACAATATTAAAAATAATTGTCTAACAATAATTATTTAATTTAAAATATAAGATATAATTTACTTTTTGTGCCTATTTTTATCATTGCTATTAAATACTAATATTTTTTATCTAACACATTTTTCAAAACATTAAATTTAATAAAGTCAAAGGATAATATAATAATATTACCCTTATTATTTGTTTTTAAGGAATGTGCCTAGTCAATAGTGGATAACTATAATTGGACAGAGGAAGTATCAAATATCGACACAAAAAGATTTAATATTTGGTGAAAATTGTGCTAGAAAGTCTAATGCGCGATTCAGATTTAGTCGAGATGTTTCATGTGGTGAGACATCAAAAAATTAAAATAAAATAAATATACACACCATAAAATTTAATATTGTGATTTTGATATTACAATTTTGAGGTATTCAATATTTAAACACAAAAAGAATATAATTTAATTGTTTGTACTTTCATATAAATCTTTTTGTACTATAGTGTATTAGTATAATATAATGAAGAGTTTTAAAAAAAATTATAGTCATACTTTTTTTTAATTATATTATGAGTATATATAAATCAAAGTTAAATAAACTATATTATGATTTACCTCATTATAAAATATCAAAAATCAAATTCGAACTTATAATATTGAATCATACGAATTATTTTGATATAATAATTTTAAAAATCAAAGTTAACGAACCACAATTTTTAATGCTATAACATGTCCACCGCTAAATGGAATATCAGTAGTTAAAGTTACTAGTCTTTAAGGGTCGTTTGGTAGGAGGTATTAGGAGAAATAATTCATGTATTATGTATGGTATTATTTAATACTATGTTTGGTAGACTTTTTGGGCCTAAGTATAACTAATTCATGAATTAGTTATACACCCTACACGATATTATAGGAGGTATTACTAATACCTTCCATGTGGTGGTATTAGTAATACATTGGATTTAATACCATGAGATTATCTATGTAAAGACAAAAATATCCCTCAAATCATTTTATTTATTTTCTTGATTTTATGTTTTATATTTGTACTAGTAAATTTATTTAAATAAATTAGCTTACAATTTTTATTATTTAGAGAGAGTTGTTTGTTAATAAATAAATACAATATTTAAAAATGTGAGTTGTTTAACATTTACTAATTGAAAAGGCAAATATATCACCACATGACGTTTGTGATCTTAATTGAATATTTTATTTGTTGGTTTATATGTGGTTTCTAATTGTTTGTATTTTGAACAATTTATAAATTGCATACATATTAAAACTACACCTTGCAATTTTTATATGTAAATATAGATGATTTATTCGATTTTACTATTTTTATCTTCTTTTAAATTTTAAAGTAGATGGTCTATCTATTTTAAATTGAAAATTAACATTTTTAAGTGATTAACTTATTAAGATAACAATTGTTTAACCTCAAAAATTCAAGTGAGAAAATAACAAACATGACAACAAATTTGTTCTTCTCCTAGCTAGTTAGAAGGCCATAAAAATATAATATTGTCCGGCAATTATCTACCTTGACCGATTACGTAAAATAGAAAATCTCATAATAATGCAAAGGTATAATTGGAAAGAAGTTTTTTGTAGAATTTTAATCCAAACATAGGATGAGGCTAGAAGCAATGAACCAAACACTTCATAAAAAATACACCTTGCACTACTAATTTCTGCACTATTAATCTCTGCATTACTAATCCCTGCATTATTTTATTTTTTTACCAAACGACCCCTTAACGTTTTGTACTTTGTTAAAAAGAGAGCTAGGCATTGCACCTAATACTAGCCCCATTTTGTAGATTTGATCCACATACAGAATTTCAATCTATCTAAATTGTCTTTTTTTCAACCAACTGTTCATTCACTTCGAAATAAGTATTTTCTTAACCTCGAAATTGTTAAAATGATTGAAATCTCTTACCTTAAAGGGGTTGAACATACGTAGAACTTTACTTACAAATAATGTTAGTATCATTTTTTTTTACAAATCAAATCACTCTTTTATCATTCAAACTAGAGATTTGTGGTTGAGGGTTGGAGAAGTGACAACAAACTAACAAAGGGTGATGTTAAGCAAGATTAATTAGTCTTGTGATGTGATTTATGAAGCCCACAAATCATGGTGAGATTATGAGAAATATGGTGTGAAAACATTTAGTCATATTCATATCATAATAATTAGCTAGTCAAATCGAATATAATAACTTCAACCCTATCTCTGGCTGTATTGTCATTCTCATTTGCTGCTATATGCAATGTATCCACTGTAGACAAATTTTTATATGATAAATCAACAACAACACGTTAAATGTCAAAATCTCATTTTGAGTATTCATGTATAAAATACAAATAGAAATTGACCTTATATATAAACAAATCATAGAAACAATTATATTATCTATATAGGTGCAGTTACTTGTCCTCTATGAAATTGCCTCTTGAATTGAATTATTAAACTTCTACCAATTTTATTTTTTTTCTTTCACTTTAACCAACAAAATAATAAAATAAAATACAGGGTCATAATTTGATGGCTAGAAACTGAAGAACAGAAATTAACATTCATAGATTATTTATTACCAAGTAAATTCAAGCATATGTATTTGGATTTTGGGGTTTAGAACCCAAATAAATATCAAACCGAACTCTTAAATTAGTTGTTTTTTTGGGGAGGGTCAACATCCACTTGAGACTTGCCAGCTTCTGAACTTTGATCGATTGTGTCATCGTCGGGGTCATGAGATGGGTCAGACTTATCCATGGAGGCTCGGGCCTTATCAAGCCACGGTTTGAAAGCAAGCTCAATCGCCAGCCACCCAAATGCTAGGGCTCCGAATACCACTGCGGTTGATTTCAACGAGTTGTTATTCTTCGCCATTGAGATCACAAGCAGCGACGTGCCGATGAGGGTTTAGTTTGCTACTCTACTTATACTGTGACCAGAAGAGGAATTAAGATATAGAACCAACCTCCCATTGGGCCCTCCAATTACGGAAAAGTTTCATAAATAGCCATATCAACCTCTCATATCTCATTTAATCACGCTTTTGTTACGAAAACAATTTTGGACAAAAACTAAAACATGGAATAATTTCACAACTTTGATAAGTTCAAGTGTGGAACCCAAAGAATAATGGCTTCACCGAAATTTTGCTAGAGTTTCAAGCCCCATAAACAATTTATGAAATTTATACTCTCTTTTTCTTTTTTTATGACAAACAATTTATGAAATTTATACTTTATAAGTTTAAACCCAAAAACGATTCCTTTGATTCAAAAATTTGATGGGAGTTTCGTTCAATCCTCATATCACTGATCATAAAACTTACTATTTATTTCAATTCCCAATAGTATGCCACTCTATTCTGAGTAGATGCAAAAGTGACCAATATAGTTGAGTAATTTGACAAAGCAGAACAAAATTGAATGCCATACGAAAGTAATGTTAGCAGACAATATGATGCAGCGAAATAACATGCTCCTGACTTCAAAGATCCAAAATAAATTGTTGCATGAGATCTATCTTTTTTTCTACTAGAAAAACCAAGAGCAAATCTCTCAATCCGTACACATGTTTACATCAAAAAATTAGAGCAGCTGGAATGCATTTAGCGGCCTCGACCACGTCCACGCCCACGACCGCGCCTACAACCACGTCCCATAGGCTTTCCTGAAGAGGAACAATCAAAGGAAGATGTTATTAGAAGGATGTCCAAGCAATAAGGAAATTTAACCATACACCCACAAGGCACAAAAACATCTGAACGTAGGTAGTCCTTAACAATATGACAATACCAGCTGTTGGCTTCTTTGGCTTCACCCTTGGTGTTTCTTCCACCACCAGCGTCTCAAGATTTAAGCTGTGGGAGGATGTAATAACGGATGTTGTTACCCCTCACAGTTAGGTGATCCAACGTCACTGGATTCTCCCCTTTTAGCGTAATTTTGACAGCCTTCAGATGTGTGTTCATGCTAACATCCACACCTGTAAAAATGTAACTGCCTTCAGAAACTTTAACTCACAGCTCTCAATTTAGCAACTTCAATAAGGAGACGGATTTAATAGCCACTGTGCCTAGTTAATTTCAAAACACACTGATATGCTTGAATACATATTTCTATATCCCGAATATATTTAGCAGTTTTCTGTAAGTATAAGCAACCCCTCAAGGAATAAAAGTCTAAAGCATGGAAAGGACAACCAACAGAGAAAGGTAAATGCTATAGGTCTCAAAATATGAGAACAGGACAAATATTTACTTTTGACTACTATAGTTATCTAGAACAGAGATAAACTCTTCAATACATAGATGGCTATTTTCCATGCAAATTTGACATTTTCAATGCAACCAGCACAAGCCCTGGCACTTGCCATAAAAAGCCTATCTAAGTTTGCTAAGGCATCTCTACTGCCGGACAAAGAAGCTACAGTATGATGATTTTTTCAGAGGATGAAGTAATTATTCTTTTTTAAAATGTTTAGGTACAAAGCACACCCGTATATGTATACCAAAAAGCAGAAAGCCTACCTAAAGATATGATGTTCTATCATTCTATGAATGACACCCTATCTTCAACGCATAGAGGTAAATCATAGGAGCACCAAAAAGAAATAAGGGATAAATGGCTACTCCTCAATTGTAAAAAATCTACAGTACAATGAATTACATAGAGCATTCACAACAAGATTACAACAACAGATAAGAATTATAAATGCAACACTAGGTGTTGTTGTCATAAAACTTGGGTACAACAAAATAACTTATAAGTTGATTGCAAGCCCGCTTAAGCTCAAGCATTCATGCATAGTGAATAACAGTAGTTCGACACAACTTTAGCTCCTCGTCTAGCTGAATTTAAGATTAGTTAACATTGCAGAGAAAAAGTGACTGTCGGAGTACACAACATCATATATGCCACTTACTTCTCACTCTTTGCGCTAGTTCTACATGCTCAAATATCAAATGCAACCAGCCTATAGTACTCCACTTGATGTGTCTACTCTTTCTGACCTAAGTACCTGGAACTTTAACCTCAAGCTGGGAAATAAGAACTTACTCACGCCTCACATAGACAATGACAATCCACAAACAAGCTGAGGCATCATGGTTTTTGCTTATATAATCAAAACAAGTGTTATAAGTTACGGGTATAGCAACAACTAGGTAATCAAAAACATTTAATATTGAACATAGGATTTGTCAATTAGTGTTACATTTGCTGAGATGAGCAACTAATGCACATCTTTGGAAACAAAAGGATGAAGACAACAGGGTTTTGCATAGAAAATAAAAGAGCTCTTGGACCAAATGATTCCAGCATAGAATATTTCACTTGTAGGGACCTGAGATGTGAGAACAATGGTGGCATAATGATCTGGAACCATGTGCAAGATGACTTAAATTTCTGAAGAGCACTACGTTATCGACCTATTCTATCGACAAAATGATAGTGAAGGTCTTACAACAACAACAAAAGAAACAACACCACAGTTTCAAACAAGTTTGGTCCGGCTAAATGAATCCTTATTGACCATGTTACTCTGTTTAAACTTATCTCAAGCTAATATTACACAACATTGAAATAATAATAGCAGTATAAAAAGTACCAAAAATTCTTTATACTTTCTACTGATGTATCAAAATTAATGGTGACAGTTATCCGTGAAAATTTAGAAGTATTAGAAAATACTACTATCTCAATACGAAGTCAAGAGAGATTCTACTGATCCACCTCCCTTGAGTGAATCATTGGTCACTGATTTACTTCCCCCTGATGTGGAGTATTTGTTATTCAGTGATTTTCCTCCCTAAAGTGGATAGAAGCAATGTAGTTCAGGTTGTTTGGTATGGTTGGAACAGAAGTAAGACAAATACATCTCCTTTTTCCATCAAAATTCAGATGCACTGAAAAATCCACATAGAAGAATGCACAACCCATCTACTTTTGCTTTCTATCCCTTTTTTACTCACAAGGAAATTAACTTTTAACCTCTTACTTTCATTCCTCTTAAGCTTCTCTTTTCCACCCCAACCAAACATAGTTTTAAGTTTTAAAGAAAAGAATATATGAATGGGTTAACTTATGAAAAATTTTAAGAAAATGACAAAAAGATGATAAGAATCCCATGTTCACTCACATAATTTCTTAGTTTTTTGTTTTGTTTTTTAATATAGAGATTTGTATTTTCAGTATACGAACTGTGAATTAATGAAATGATCCGAATAAAGCAGAACAAATATAGGACACTCATATAGACAAACCAACTAGTTTGGGATGGAGACATCATAGCTGTATTTAAATGCATACAAAGTCATTGAAGGAATTGTTGAGTTATTATAGTGACACTTCAAATTTCTTCGAGTTGTGTAATAATCCAACTTTTAGAGCCACAAAAAAGAGAACGAGAGATGTTATTTTTATTGAAGCAGAGTACAATTAACAGAGAGGAATTACAGTTCTCTAGAGTCTAGACATAAATTACAGTGATGATAGGCAGAAATAGCTCTGCACTTGAGAATGAATTCCTATTGATATTTGAAAGGAACTTCATAGTTGGAGAAGGACTGAAGTAGAGATAATACGTGCGATTCAGAGAGGATAAGAAGATAACAAATTCAGAAGGGCAGTGAGAGGAGTAGACCGATTGAGACGGGTTACCTCATATACTTTCTACAGCTTCTCAGCCCTAGCTTCCATGCATTTATGGACATACATAGTGACTCATAGTGGAAGTGAAGGGAACTATTGCAGTTACCATTCATCTGCTATGAACTAACTTAACTTGCGGCATAAACCAAAGTCAGTTTAGCAACTTGCTTTCATTGTTGTTGTTGCTCCGTTTTTCCACCCCACCCCCAGGAGCCTAGAAGGATCAATAGTGTTCCCACCTATCCTCTGACCCAAACCCTCAACCTACTAGTTGATTGTGGAAGTGTTCAACCACTTGAGCAAAACCTCACTTGTCTGTCATGAGCACTTATTTTTGTATATCCTTTTTAAAATTGTTTGGAAATGCCTTATTTAAGCATGAGAATCTATTGGAAACAACCTCTTTAACTCTACGAGGTAGGGGTAAGAATTGCAAACACTTTGCCTCCCAAGACCTCACCACTTGTAGAATTACATTGGGTATTATGTTGTTGTTGTAGTTCAGCAACTTCCATATACCACCCAACAACTAGACTTTCAGTTAGAGACTGCCAAATAACTTGTCAACCCAGGAAATCAAATTCATACAAGCACATTCTTTAATTCACATATTGGCGTGAGCAATTCAACAATTACATACGTGCAGATTGTTCATTTTAGACTTGACAGGGAAATACCTAAATATAGCTAAGAAAGAAATAGACAGAAAGATAGGGAGGGTGACTTGTAATGGTTCCATGAACAACGGTGCCCTTTTTGAGCTCAATTGAGACAGTCCCGTTGTTCAGCTTCCATGCATTTATAGAGATACATAGTGACTCACGGTGGAAGTGAAAGAGAATGAAGTAAACTATTGCAGTGACCATTCATCTGCTATGAACCGATTAACTTGTCCTATTTAGCAACTTGCATATCCCACCTAGCAACTACACTTTCAGTAAGCGACACGTCCAAATAACTTCTCTTCCGAATAAAATCAAATTCATACAGCACATTCTTTAATTTACATATTGGCGTGAGCAATTCAGCTATTACATAAGTGCAGATTGTTCATTTCAGACTTTACAAAGGTTATACCTAATACGTAAATATAGCAATACAGAATATATACTGAGAACAAAAAAAAAAACGAAGAAATTGATAGAAAGGTAGAGAGAGTGATCTGTGATGGTTCCATGAACAACGGTTCCGTTTTTGAGCTCAATTGAGACAGTCTCGTTGTTCAGCTTAATAAAAAATCTGAACAGACAGTTACAGTTACAGTTAAAGTTAAAGTTAAATCCATGGCTAAGCTCACTAGAAATAACTCACAGAGAATAAAAATTGAAGATGTCGCATGAACCTAACGAGCTTCATTGTGCTGAAGAAATTGAAAACACAGTAGAGTAGGGTTTAGGGGAAGGAGCGCCAGGGGTATTCAAAAACACAAGCACACTCCCATTACAATGGCGTCGTATCGTATTTCATGAGCCCATAGCACATGGACCCGCCTAATCGTGGGTAGAAAACAAGAAAGCCCATTGGATCAAACGCGTGGGGTGTTTCATGTTTTAATGGTAGGAATTGCACCTGTTAGCCAGTTTCACCGTGTCCTTGCTATTTAAGTTGTAGCCAATTTTAGTTAAAAGTAAGTCACCGAGCACCAATCAAGGATGTGTGCCATATATGAGTTTACAACTTTAATTTAATCCAATTGGATCTAAAATTTGAAGCTAATGGTAAGATAAGTACACAATGTGTGATGTGCATATTCTACTTTAATTTGTCGCAAATAAATTATGCCACATATATTGAAATAGAGAAAGAAAATAAATTCAATTACGTAAAGATAAAAATAAAAGAACAGACCTTCAAAATAATTGATCATCGATCAATCATTAGGATGATCTAAGATGCAAAAGTTGGATCCAATTTCCACTATATTAGTACTGTATCTTTTTTATAAATTGAAACAGAAAAAGAAAATACATTCAATTATGTAAAGATAAAAAAAGAAAGAAAAGAATAGACCCTCAAAATAATTGACCATTGATCAATCATCAGGATGATATTATAAAAAATTTCCTCTTTTTTCGTATGGGTAACCGCATTGGCTTCATCAAAACATCGTTGGGTGTCATTAAAACACTATATTTTTCTATTTTATTTTTAGATTCGACCCTTTTTGTTGAAGTGGATTTTTCAATTACATCCATAAAATATAACACATGACATTAGTACTAAATAAAACATATACGACATTTGTTGAAGTATTTTTTCTTTATTCAAAATTATAACTCATCATGGAAGATCATTTCCTCTATACGTTCGAAAAAATAATCCCTTTAGTGCAATGAACTAATTATTTTTGTGTTGTCCCTTCATACTTCAAAAGGCTAATTCGAAACAAGTTACAAAGTATAGTCGATCTAATGAATCTTTCAATTGTACCTCTTGATAGTGTAGATACCTTTATCGATAGGTTTAGTCCAAAATCCATATATAAAATGATCAAATTGTTATCCACCATAATCAAATTGGGGTGGGTGGGGGGTGATCAAGTCTGTTTTCTATGTATATCCAGAATCATTCTTTCCTTTACCTAGACACTAATACTCCTTTGTTTAATTAGCTTGTGAATCCTAAGATCGTGTTTGATTTCATGATTAGGAGAAAGGCATTATATTACTACGTAGAATATTAGATCAGCTTGTGTTTGTATTAATTACCATCAACAAATAAAACGTATGGTAAACAATTGAGATTCTTTTATTTTAAATTATTTTTTTGCATTCGAGTTAGATAATATTTAGTATGATCGCATGTATGTACCGTTGGTTCAGTTTTCTATATCTTTAATCAGATTTAATAAAATGATGATGTTTTTATATTTTTAAATCAAGTAACAAAGCGGAGTAGAAAATCACAAGAATTTTAGTCTCCAAAATGAAAATAGAAAATCATGAAGATTTTGGTGTCACACAAGCAGAAAGTAAGATGAATATAAAAATTATTAACATAAAATAAAATGTAATCTCGTACTTAAAGTTTAATATTATTTCCTTTCAAGATAGAATGGATGATCTCTAACGAAATAGTAGTATCTCAGGCAAAAGCTAAAGCAAATTATTTTAAAAAACAATGCGAAAAAGAGAGAGAAGAAGAGAAACTTGAAATTTGGGCAAACTCGGTGTTTTTTCAAAAAAAATAAAAATGGTAGTGCCTATACTCAAAAGTCATGTGTCTGTTCGGAAAAATAAAATCTTTATTTTTCATTAATATAAAAAATCAAACATTATTTCAGTTCATAATAAATTCAACCAACACTTAATTTAAATATAGATATTCGAAATACTAGATGTGATTAAAAATAGATCGATTTGTAATGCATCTATATAATTAACACAAGAAATTAGGAAAATTGATTTTTCAGGCCACTCACTATTATTATATTCATTCATTAAGTATAAATGTAAAAGGCTATGGAGTGAAATCCTATTTTAAGTAATCAACCTCCCACTTGGATACAGGGGCGGCTGGCAAGGCTTAAAAAAAAGTCTTTTGCCTTAGGCCCCCAATTTTAGGGGGCCCCGTTTTTTAGTTAATTAGGTAGGATTAAATTAAAAAAAATAATATTAGAACTAAGACAATAAATGCAAAGGCCCCATTTTTTAGATAATTAGGAAGGATTAAATTTTAAAAAAAATTTGTTAGAACCAAGACAATAAATGCAAAACGGCTCAATGAAGTGATAGTATGATAGATATGACTATGACTTTTTGACTTTTCAATAAAAAGTTGTGTACTTTTTTTTTTAATGTACAAGTTATCTTTTTTTTTTTACCTTATTTTTTTCTAATTTTATTTTTATATATTCTATTCTCCTTCCTTCTATTTCTTCTCACTTTCTTTTTTCTAATCTTACATCTCTCTTATTCAAAGCTTAAAAATTTACTCGTTCTATTGATAGTTTATATTTTAAATTTGGAGAAAACTATATTACAGCAGCCCGATTCATTTTTGGAAATCAAGTCTTCATAGCTTTTGAATTCAGTAATATCATTCTAATTTCTAATATTATTTTTGTTTTGTGTCTTATGTTTATTATATTTTTTATTTGATATTGTAAATAGTGTTTTAAAATATTTGTTAGATTTTGATGTCGCTATAGATCAATTAAGAGGTTTAGTTTCTTTTTTTAAAACATATAGAAAAGAAGGATTTACAAGTACTATGATTTCGGCTAAGAAAATTGCATTAGAGATGAATATAGAACCTGTATTTCGTAAGAAATGTGTAATTTATAGAAAAAAACAATTTGATGAGAATGTTGATAATGAAATCACAAGATCTCTTGAAGAATCATTTAGAGTTGATTACTTCTTATACATAGTAGACCAAGCCATCTTTTCACTTCAAAATAGATTTGAACAATTTGAAGTATATGAAAATATTTTTGGTTTTCTATTTAGTGGGAAAAAATTGAGATCATTAGATGATGAGAATTTGAAAAAATATTGTCTTAAACTTGAATGTTCCTTAAAACATAATACTCACTCCGATATTGACGGTTTAGACTTATTTTCTGAATTAAAAGTGTTAAGAAAAATCATAAAAGTAGAAGACAATACTCTAATTGAGATACTCAATCAAATAAAAAGACTTGATTCTTTTCCAAATGCTTACATTGCTTATAGAATAATGTTAACAATTCCCGTTACAGTCGCCTCAGCCGAAAGAAGTTTTTCAAAATTAAAAATAATAAAATATTATTTAAGATCGATAATGTCTCAAGAAAGATTAAGTGGTTTGGCTATATTATCGATTGAAGAAGAATTATTAGAAGAGATTGACTACACAAAAATTATTAACAACTTTGCATCTCAAAAAGCTATAAAAATAGATTTAAAATAAAAATATTTATAATTTTTTTTTTAAGGCCTCTAGTTTGATTTTGGCCTTAGGCCACCAACGGGTTTGAGCCGCCCCTGCTTGGATAAATATATCAGATGTGAAAATATTGCTTTTAATTAGCTAAGATTTGAATATTTTTTTAAAATCAGAATAAGTTTTGAATATTAAAATGTCACCGTCCGCATCTGTCTTTTTGTGTGTTTCCCGTGGTTATGGATAAGTTAATTCGGTCAACTTTATTAAGGTTGAAAAAAAAACAATTAAGGATTATTCTACTTCCATTAGCACTAATTATTTATGATCATATCTCATTTTGTTCCTAAGGTATTTATTCTTATTGGACAATTCCCCATTTAGTATTTTGACCACCGCAAAAATACTGTTGTTTAGAGGCGTGTTTCCGTCCATATTAGTTCTCCATTATTAACTTTACATACTTCTTAGGAACCTATAAATATAACGTTAATTTTACTATATTACTCTTTTAATATAATAAATACAATATCTTGAAAAAATGTAATAAGGAAATGACAATAATTAATGATAAAGGGTAAATTAGGAACTAAGTGTAAAATTATCCATTGATTTCATAAAGTGGACAATTATTGTTGGACATTCCAAAATAATACTATAAAGTGGACAAATTATTGTTCGACATCCCAAAATAATATAGTGCGAAAAACTATTGTTGGACGGAGGAAATAACTTTTACGCGCTCATAATTAGTATTGATTGGTAACTTGAGAAAAGAATAGTAAATACTTACCCTTTATAACATGTTAAATTTACTACTACTCTTTCGATTCACTTTTACTTGTCATTTTTAACTATAAAAAATATTATTTTACTCTCAATATTAATTTATTTATTCGACAAAACATTCTCAAAACCTAAGATTATTTATTGAAGATCCATTGAATATTTAATCATATTAATAAACTTCAGAGATTATAACTGTAAAATCAGAAATTTATACTAAATTCATAAATTTAAAATCTAGAATCGGTGTTTTGTTTTTTATTTGAATTAGTGCATACATCTTACACTTCAATGCAGTACTATAAGAATAAAAGTATTGGAACCAAATTTGATGGAAATGGTCTATGACACTCCACCATATATAAATACTCAACATATTGGCTGCAGAAAACAAGCTAAGTAGATCCATCATCCATGCATGGTATATCTAGTTGAAATATATCTACAAACATCTAAATTAAAAGAGTAACTTTCTTACAATTTACGTTGTACTCTATACAATGAAAATATCAACAAGAATGTGCAACCAAACGTACGTGTCCATTGATACACATTGGGCAACCACCGCAAATGGATCATAAGGTTGTGGTGGTGATGGGAGCCACCGGCGCCGGAAAATCAAGACTCTCAATCGACCTAGCCACTCTTTAATCAACTCTGACAAAATACAAGTATACAAAGAACTTGACATTGCTACAAACAAAATTACTGAAAACAAACGTTGTTCGGTACCTCACCATCTTATGGGTGTTAGTGATCCTTACAGCCAAGAGCTTCTGTAACATGGCTTCA